TAAAGCGTAAAGCAATACAAGCTTTCCACCCAGAATAGTATTTTAAGGACCATGTGTATAGGTGGATAAGTGGTAGAACAGATTTGTTTTTTACCGCTAAACAAATACAGGAATATTTTCATGAAACCCCTGAAAATGCTACCGGACTTGTGAGATGTCCCTTAGTTGCGAGGCTTTTTTTTTTTTTTTTTTGATCATGTCTTATTTATTTGATCCACGTACAACTTAACATCCAGTCAATATAAACTTCTGAAACACAAATGTTGTGTCCTCATTTTCCACTGCTCTTTTGTCTTTTAAGTCCGCTAAATAGGACCTTGGAGCTCTCCTTCCTTTTTTTACAATTCAACATTCAGATGGGCCAAAAATAAGCATCCACTGGATATCATGGTGACAGCTGCTTAAATTAAATGCAATATGAAATACGAGTAAGAAATCACGGGTGAGGAAGCCACTTTCTTTTAAAAAAAATTTTTTTTAACGTTTATTTATTTTTGAGACAGAGAGAGACAGAGCATGAACAGGGGAGGGTCAGAGAGAGGGAGACACAGAATCCGAAACAGGCTCCAGGCTCTGAGCTGTCAGCACAGAGCCCAACGCGGGGCTCGAACTCACGGACCGCGAGATCATGACCTGAGCCGAAGTCGGCCGCTCAACCTACTGAGCCACCCAGGCGCCCCTCCTTTTAGACATCAATATGAACATGGAAAATAATAATTTTCAGGTCCCATTTGCATATTCTAAAGTGAAACAAGTAGAAGAACACACACACAAAATTCCCAAAAAAGGAATTTTGAGAGGGAGCTAAATGGAGCAAAGGCAACTCGAGACTTCAAAATCACCGGACAAGAGAGAACATTCTACTGAGATATAAATGAGAAGAGGGACAGCTGTGATAGAGGAATCATTGGGAAGCAATAATTGAGAGCCCAAACATGCCAGGGGGTGTCTCTAGAAAGACTTAAGACTTATGGGGGCACCTGGGTGGCTCCATCGGTTAAGTGTCCAACTTCGGCCCAGGTCATGATCTCACAGTTCGTGAGTTCGAGCCCTGCATCGGGCTCTGTGTCAACAGCTCAGAGCCTGGAGCCTGCTTCAGATTCTGTGTCTCCCTCTCTCTCTGCCCCTCCGCATCCCCTCAAAAATAAACATTTAAGAAAAAAAATGAGTTATGGAAAGTAGAGGCAGGGGAGGGTAAGATGCTGAGTATAAAGAGTCTAAACTGGGGTGCCTGGGTGGCTCAGTCGTTAAGCGTCCGACTTCAGCTTAGTTCATGATCTCACGGTTTGTGAGTTTGAGCCCCGCGTCAGGCCCTGTGCTGATAGCCTGGAGCCTGCTTCGGATTCTGTGTCTCCCTCTCTCTCTGCCCCTCCCCCACTCACGCTCTATCTCTCTCTGTCTCTCAGAAATAAATAAATGTAAAACAAATTTTAAGAGTCTAAACCTGTAGAGTCTCTAGGAACTCCTTCAATTAGTCTAACATGATTATGGGCCAGTTTCTCAGAGAGGAAAATGGAAGGCAGGGAGGAAAGGAGAGAGAAAGGGAGGGATGGAGAGAGGAAGCAAAGAAGAGATAGAGATAAAAGGGCAGCAAAGGAAAGAAAAAGGAGTGTTTCTGCAACAGTCTGGACTGAAAATACTAAAATCCCAGGACCTTAGTTTGTCCAAAACCCTTTGGAATCTGACTGACAATGACTCCAATAAGATACCAACCTTGCCCATTTCCTGCAAAAATAAGCCACACGATTGCCCAGAAAAAAAAAAGGGTGTAGTGAGGCAGGGAAACTCCGATTTTTGGCCTCATGTTTGCACGCGAATGGACTTCTCACACACGAGGAGAAATTCTGTGTTATCCTGGTAAGTGACAAGAGTCCAATATTCATGGTCCTCCACAGCCATAAAGAATTTGATTTTTTCCCTCTATACCCCATTCCCCTTAAGAGGCAGAAATCCTGCATAAATGGGACTCTTCATCAGACCCAAACTTTCCTTTGGCAGGCTGTCCTGAAATCAAAATGTAGGGTCAAGAGCAATGAATGGGCCTATCTGGCTGCAGATGTGAAGTCACATTTTTCAATGAGCTCTGTAAGTAATAAAGGGAAAATAAACTCAGGAATTAAAGAAAGGATCTTATTAATGGCCCGCTAAAACCCCAGTAGAATAAAAGAAATGAGCACACAGGACACCTATTTATTTTATATTAACATCTAATCACAATTTTTCCTAAACTTAAATCATGGCTAGTGGATCAGAGACACACTCTCCCTTTCATTTGCTCATAAATATAATTTGAGCCCCTGTGCTGTAATTGGCATCAACATCACGGGCTGACTTTAACCAAATAACCAGGAGGTAGCATGGTCCCTTGCCTTCAACGTTTCCTTTAAAACTCTCTTTCTAGGGGCGCCTGGGTGGCGCAGTCGATTAAGCGTCCGACTTCAGCCAGGTCACGATCTCGCGGTCCGTGAGTTCCAGCCCCGCGTCGGGCTCTGAGCTGATGGCTCAGAGCCTGGAGCCTGTTTCCGATTCTGTGTCTCCCTCTCTCTCTGCCCCTCCCCCGTTCATGCTCTGTCTCTCTCTGTCCCAAAAAAATAAATAAACGTTAAAAAAAAATTTAAAAAAATAAAATAAAACTCTCTTTCTAATCAAAATTTGGTCCAACTGAAGAAAAAAAAAACATGGCTTCAAGACATATTGAAGGAAGAGAGGTGCGAAGAGGTGAGAAATCTTCAAATATCTTGAAGTTCGAAATCTTCAACTCCTATCCTTGCCTACTTTCTTGCATTCAGGCATAAACCTCACTTTTTTGTGTGCACCCTATTGTCAGATTTGATTTGCTTTGGTATTTGTTTCTTTGTGGTCATGACCATCATCCTATCCTGCCATAAGAACGTGCAACTATTAGGGCGCCCGGGTGGCTCAGTCAGTTCAGCGTCCAACTTCGATTCAGGTCATGACCTCAGAGTTTGGGGGTTCGAGCCCTGCGTCAGGCTTTGTGCCGACAGCTTGGAGCCTGGAGCCTGTTTCAGATCCTGTGTCTCCCTCCCTCTCTGCTCCTCCCCCACTCACACTCTGGCACGCTCTCTCTCTCTCTGTCTCTCTCAAAAATAAATAAATATTAAAAAAAAAAAAAGAATGTGCAACTACTATGGACTCATGGATTTATCGTGTACTAGGTCCACTGGGGTAAATATAGGAGAGAAAATGAAAGAGTTGAAGATAAACAGTGTTCATGGGTAAAATAAGAAAATTCAGTTACCATTAAGGCTTCTATAAGACACTGTTCAAAGAAGACAAACTTCCTGGTGGCATTAACATCTTGACATTCAGCACTCGGACAGATTTGATCGGCCTAATGCAGGTACGTGGAAAAGTTAGTTTATCACCCATATTATGGTGAGTGCCAAACCACCCATCAGGCTGGTGTGCTCTGAATTTGGCACAGAAGAAGATAAAATAGCACCTTGGACCATCTTGTTGTTGCTGCTTTTCAGGCAGCACTATGTGTCCCTGTTTCTAACTAACAGAGCCGAGGAGGGTCTACAGTTCAGGAAATGGACAAGAAGTGAAGCTTTGAAACATGCACACTCCCCCCTCAGGTGCATTAATATGAGGCTTGGACGAAAAGTGGGCCAAGAGCACCTTGTAGACTCTGCAGCTGGGTGTGCACCTGGCTTTTACTCCCTCTCCACAAGCTTAAGCCAACGTCTTCCACTGCTGGGACCCTGCGGGAGGTGTTATCGAGACTCAGTTCATCTGTCTGAGCAATGACCGTGTCTCCTCCCCTTAATGCAGGGTGGTCTTGGAAATGAGGGGTGTAGGTCCGGAAGAGGTGGCAGGTCAACCTAGACGATGTGTTCCACTACAGTAGGTGACAAGCTTGGGCAAAAACGTTGTCGTTACCAAGTATTCTGTTCACTTCTGCTGTTGCAAAGCAGTAAGTACTCTGTTGAAGACCATGGTGGTGATTCATTTCACCAAATCGCCATAGTGTCTCCTAACCTTACACCATCTGTAGGTGTTTACGTAACTGAATTTTGTGTGAAGGGTAAAGAGATGTTTAAGAATGAACTCCACTTGGTCCTACATCTCTAACACACAAATGCAAACAAAATTAATGTTTTGTGAAAGTTTTAAACTACTGGGTAGATTTCTCCTTTTCAGCCCCATTCTCCCCTCCAGAGCCACAAATATTGAAAATGCCACTCGACAGGAAGAAATTTAATTGAAAAGAGTTAAGCAGGGGAGAAGGTACCCTTTATTTAGCTTGATGTAAAAAAAAAAAATAGAATTGATATAGGAGAAATGCCACGATATTATTAAAAGCTTTACAAAATTTGAGTTAAGAAATAGCTCCTTGATAGAATCACTGATTTCCCTCCATCATAATCTGTAATTACAGAAATATAATTGGGTTATAAAAATTAGTTTAGAAGTGTCAATGCACATTTGGCTAGACTTCAGCTGAGTTCTTATGAAGAATGAAGAGAAAACAAGGCCATCTAATAAATTTAACACTCTGATTTCAAATTTAAGCAAGAATGTTAGTTTTAAAAAGTACAGATAGAATGTTAATTAGCTAAAAGGTAAAAACAAGAGTTTCTGAGACCATTAATTCAAATAGTGAAGACAATTATAAAATATAAACTTTTCTATTTTCTATATTTATATACTACATTTTACATATAATATAGCATAATATAATATAATAAATATAATATAATGTATAAAATATAATACAAAATTTGTTTTCAAAACTTTCAGGCCTTCCCTAAAACTGTCTATGGGAATTTTGTTCCTCACACACACACAGAACAGCACCCATTGGGCACTCTCTTTAAGGTCTGTTGCGTCTGAAGGCACATCTCCCAGAGCACTAATAAAATGGAGGCCAGGGTGACTCCTTCTTTAATAGGAGCAACTGCTTCCACGGAAGCTTTACCAGAGAGCACCAACTCACTCCTCCATCCTTCCAGTCATCATCTGTTCTATTGTTCTAGGTTTTGTAACAGAATCATTTCCCAGACCACCGCGGACAGCCCAATCATAACAGGTAATGATAGCAATAATAAAATTCATATGTAGGAAATGAATAAGTCATGGATTCTTAGGAAAAGGAGGAGGAGGAGGATGAGGAGGAGGAGAGGCAGAGAGAGAAAGGAAGGAGGAGGAGGAGGGTAGAGGCTGGAGGGAGGGGAGACGGGCGAGAAGGAAAGAGGGGAGAAACAAAAGACATTTCTGCAATACAATCTGCCTTCATCATGAGATGAAAGAATACTAAGAACCATACTTTCCACAGGTAACATTTAGGGCCATGTTTCAGTTGTGTGATTTTATGTATGACTAAAGGGTTTACACCTTGGCTTCCAACATCCTTAGTTCAAATCCAGCTTTGCCAATTGCTGTCCAGGTGACAAGTGACCCTGTGCACTTCCTCAGCCTCCTAGTTACTAAAATGGGAGGTAGTAACAGTAACTACCCCACAAAGATATCATGAGGATTACATTATGTTTATAATGTTCCTGGCACCTGGTAAGTGCTTACGAATTGGTAGATCATTATTAGTGTTATTTTTAAGATAGCTAAGTACCTAGCTCTCTTCTGGATAAAAAAAAAAATGCTATCAAACATTATCTCAGAGGGGCACCTAGGTGGTTCAGTCGTTTGAGTGTCCAGCATGACTTAGCTCAGGTCATGATCTCGCAATTCATGAATTCGAGCCCTGCATCAGGCTCTGTGCTGACAGTGTGGAGCCTGCTTGGGATTCTCTCTCTCCCCTTCTCTCTCTCTGCCCCTCCTGTGCTCTCTCTCTCTCTCTCTCAAAATAAATAAATAAACTTTAAAAAATTATCTTAGATATTCAGCAAAGCTTACAAGATTCTAGATTCCCACTGAAACATACAACACACACACACACGCACACACACTGATTCTTCTGCTGTGGATTTCTGATTTTGTGTGTGTGTGTGTGTGTGTGTGTGTGTGTGTGTGTGGGCACCTGAGCGTGCATCAGGGGTGACATTGTTTAATCTTTATTGTTTCATTTTATTACTTAAAATAACATTCATGCAATTTAAGAGGCACTATAATAGAGTGCATTAGAATCACCTGTAAAACTTCTTCAAAATGCCCTTACCCAGGCCCTACCCAGACAAACTCAATCAGAACTTCTGGGGATGGACCTTGCATACCAGTGGGTTTTTCCAAGGTTCTCCCGGGTGGTTCTAGGGGGCAGCCAGGGTTAAGATGTGGAAAAGAGGAAAACGGTGAACCCTTAGAAAGGATTTCTAGGTTCAAAACTCACTTATTTTACTCACTGGCAATATGGCTGTGAAGAAGACATATAACCTTCTCTGAGCCAGTGTCCACTGCCATTAAATGGGAGGGATGATTTGCGCCTAACTTCTTAGAGTTGTGGGTTTCAGATGAGAGCGCTAAGACCAAAGCGTTGCTCTGCAGTTTGTTTTGGGAGTCAGTTTTGAGCTTCACGTGCGGAACCAGCTACTTTTAAACTTGTAAGTGACGCATGATTGTTTCCTGGCCAGGTTACTTGTCCCAGCCTCTGTAGGGAAGAAGGGAGAGCGGAGGAAGCATGCACCGCCCGCCCCCCAACCAGCAGCTCCCCAGAATCAGTTCTGGGAATCTGGGCTGGGAAAGATGGCCCAGGCAGCTCATACCTCCATCTCATACAAATAAGATTTCATTTACCCACTTCATTTTCTCCTTAGTATACGGGAAGTGACGTGGTAAAGATGAATGAGCACAGGATATCCCAAAAGAAACGTTCACATTCTCTTCAGTATTTAAGGAGTACATGTTTTGTCCACCTTACCAAAACCCTAAATTACCTGAATTCAAGGGCTATGTCTGATTAGGTTTGATTCGGCCCTTCTCCTGACTGCATTATTTAACCTATGAATCATGGTTGAAGGATTAGTCTGACAATATGAAATATAGAAAACAGGAATTTAACTGACATTAATGACCATGAATTTCTTCTGGTCTCTTTTTCACTAATCTAGGTATACTAACTGAATCATGCATTGGAAACATATATCTCTGTCAATTATCTTAATAAATAGCAGTGAGGCCCATGAGAGAAAATAAGTTATGCATTTTGTTCAGCTGAATTGGTGTCTTAAAACAAACCCAGAAGTCTGAGAGCCATAACGTATCTGACTGAGAATCGGCTCCCTGTGTCATTATCTCTTGTTCTTACTTCTTTGTCACTAAATACACTATTGTGATTTTTATTGCTACTTTCATTGGCCTGAGTGTTCAATATCGAAATGATGAATAAGTATTCTTGGGGCATAAAGCTATCCCTCTCTTCTAAGATCACTCATCACCTTCTCTTAGGAGACACTACCTACGAGTTCTTTTGGTAAAGCAAACTCCGCTTAGAAGATTCCGGAAATTTTTTGTGTGTGCCAAGAGGGATGAAACACCTCTATTTGTTAGTCTTATTTCAGAGACTGACTTATTTCTGAAAAGTTAGATGTTCATCAAGAGAGAACTGGTTAGGTATTGTGGCGATCAGTTTGCAATACACACAAATATCGAATCATGATATCATACACCTGAAACAAATATAATGCTGTATGTCAGTTAGATCTCAATAGAGAAAAGAACTGTTTTTAAATAAGTCAGTGTATATCCATGAAAGGGAATACTATAGAGAAGGATGGAAATCTATTCGTAATAATATGAGATGTTCAAGGTATCTTTTTAAAATGTGAAAGTTGTAGAACTCTGTCTACAGCACGAATCTGGAGTGTTTGAAGATTTTCTATGCTCCTATGTGCATAGAAAATTTCTGGAACGATATAATACATTATTGATGACGGTAGAATGATGGAGTAGTTCAGTTTTCACTTTATATTCTTCTGTGTTGTTGCTGTTGTTTGTTATAAGCACACATTACTTTTATAATTTGTTTAATAAAAAATTTTAAAAGACTCTTAGGATTCTACTAGGTGGCTTGTCCCGATGGCATGCATATAACAACTGTGCTCACGTTCATGTTCTACCCAGACGCTCCACTCTTCGCCTGAACTAGCTGTTTAACTCCTATTTGATGGATAATGGTAGAAAGAGAGAAAACAATCCCAGTTGGTATGTTTCAGCACTTGTAGCAAGTAGCTCTGAAATGGGAGTAGAATGCAAAACAAAGCATCCTTGTTTTTGGAAGGAAATTACCATACCATGTAATGGCAACACCATTACCAGAATAATCATCCTTTTACAGTATAGTGATCAACTATGTACTCAAATTTCTACAGTTGATTTCTAGAAGTTGTAAAGTGTTTTTCCATTTGCTTGAACAACTTTCTTGAAATGAAGAGTATTTTAAATCAACACCTACCATAATTTTTTCAGGCACTAAAATTGAAAACAGTTAAAATATTTTTATATTACTAGGGGTTGAATAAGTATTCTACAATGTCTAAGGAGTATGTGTGCATGTGCGTGTGGGTGTGTGTGTTCACTAATTACATTGCCTCACTTTCATTTTTACTACAAATCCTTTAGTCCCTGGAAATCTACGCATAGATTCGTTTACACATGGAAAAAGTTTTCAAAAAAGGAACAACTTGGGGCACCAGTCGGGTGTCTGACTTCGGCTCAGGTCATGATCTCACAGTTCCTGGGTTCAAACCCCACGTCAGACTCTGCTGAAGGCTCAGAGCATAGAGCCTGCTTGGGATTCTGTGTCTCCCTCTCTTTCTGCCCCTCCCCTGCTTGCACTGTGTCTGTCTCTCTCAAAAATAAATAAACATTATAAAAAAATTTTTTTTAAAGAAACAACTTTAGTTAATCAAGTATTCGCATTTTGCCAAGAAACACAGTATAACTGCCTTGGATTTGGACAATAATGTTCATCTTCGCTCCCAGAAACCTTTTGAATATTATTATGAATGCCTTTACATTAGCAACATTAGTGAAACACTCTGAAATACACCTCAAATGTATGAAAATCAACTCTGTTAGAGAGATTTGAACCAGAGAAAATAAATACAGCCAGTGATGTACTTTTCAGACCCTTGAACACCATCTGCTGATATGAGCAGTGAGAAAATTTCAAATTTGGGGTTCTTCTAACACAGCCAAATTTCCAGAAAATCTCTTCTTTTCCCAAATTCTGACCTGGGGCATTTCATCCTACAATCACTTCTGCCTCCCGTTCAACCAGCATCTTGTCAAATCTGGCTGCAAGATTAAGTTTCCAGATTCAGAATTCAATATTGTAACCCTAAGGATATAAGATCCAAGCTGGAACATTCTGTTTAAAAAAAAAATGGATAAAATTGTTTCAGCCCAGAGACCAGAGTTTGCTCTGACCATAATGATGAATCATCAGGGCTGACACTAAGTGAAATGAGCTTGATGTTCTTGGCTTTATTCGTGCACGTTAAGCAGGGGTTTACGTTTGTCCCAACTCTCAACCTTTTGTCTAAAAGGTTGAGAGAGCCTTGTTTTCTAGTATTATTTAAGGCTCACAAAATTAACTGGCTCTATCTGTCTTTTGACCCGCCATAGCCTAGGACGGTGTACCTGGCCCCATTCTTGCCCACGCTGGCATCCAATTTTCAAAGAATACAACTGACAATTTAAGAAATATCTACTTTTTTTTTTTTTTTTAACATACCTTCAATATCAACTAGGGTTTCTGACATCCATGTCTCTCTGCTGGTGTAGTATTTTGCCTCTTACTCTCAATAATAAAGTATTACATTTAAAAAAAATCTGTACCTGAATTCTGCACTGAAAACTAACCTCTCTGTAAATGATGCACTTTGTTTTTAATAAGAGGAGTTGGTCTGAGTACTGATCAATGCGAAAAACACCACTGAAAAAGTATTTAATCTTTTTAAAGTAGATCGGTTTCTGCAAGCGTTTAGGTCTTAGGTGTGAGACATAGATGTGTTCTTCTTGAAACACTTTGTAATTATTCATGAACAATCAAAGTTATAAAACATGCTGAGTCAGCATCATATTAGCCACGGGAAACATCCCTTTTAATAAGGCTGTTCTTCCACAGCACCTAAGCACTGGTTAAACTTGCAGAAAGCTCCCCAAATAAAGGGGTCCTTAATCTTGAAATTCGTGTTCCGTGGCTCCGTGGCAAAAACACTGTGAAGCTTTTCTTTCTTTTTCTTTTTTTTCTTTTTTCCTTCTCCTTTGGGCTTTGTTTTAAAACTGTATTTGTCTTGTCCTAAAGTAATCATTTCTCTGCTTATTTCGGTGATCTAAAATCGCCAGGCGACACGACATCAGCTTACAAAACAACAAAAACGCTAACTACAGAATCCAGAGTGTCGGTCAGTTCTCTGCCTCCGTCTTGCTTTGTTTTGCTCTAGGTCTTGCCTTTCTCTCTGGTGCCCTTTGCTGCCTGGGCAGCCCACGAGGATTCACTTTTCACTTATTACTCATCACACTGACTCTGGATTACAGCGGGGAGGAGAGGGAAAGCTGAGGGGAAAATGACGTGAAGGAAAAGAGCAAAATACCAGAGCAGTGCGTTTGAGCAACTATTTCCTTTTCCTTCACTGAAGGTGTGGACACATTTATTTGCATCTTTGACCTTAAGAGGGGGGAGCTGGGAATTGTACGGGCGTCTTTTCCCACTGAAAGAAGCCACCCCCTTGCACGGGGGGGGGGGGGTGGTAAGGAGGACGGAAAAGAGGTGAAATTTAGAATATTCTGTTGATCTTCATTTTTCTTTTTTTTCTTGTTGTTATGGTTAGAAAAATGTGACTGAAGGGAAAAGGGTTACAGTTCACCCGGAATCAGTACCAAGTATCAACAGCTAATCTCGGTCTTTTAAAGAAAGAGTCCTTCATATCATGGGGGGTTTAAAGCCAGTGATAAAACAAAAAGCTATTTTCTGAAGCCAACCAACTTGAAAAATAACTGGTTTAACACCTCGAGAGCTGCCTTTAGTATTAATAATCAGAAATGCCTTCAAGTATTTTGCCCTCCCTTGCATACAATGGTTTTATATTTAGGAGTGGTGGCTCTGAAATAACAATAATGTGGTCATTTATTGCTGGAGTAAAGAAAACAGCACAAGCAGAGAGCAAAACAGGAAGAATGTATCCCATAAAAATTAGGCAGTTTTCACCTATAATTGGCTCACGTTGTAGAAGTGGGAAGAGCAAGAAAATAATAGAAAGAAAAATGACTCTTAGTGAAATGTAATGACAGGTTCTTACCGCTCTTTCTTCAGTCTAGGGTTCAGAAGAATTGTGCAAAAGGCAAAACTGGTACATATCTTGATTATCATTTTGGACCAGCTCAAGGCAACATGACTCAACACAGTATTGACATGTGATCCCAGAGCAAGTTTTGACTCAGTAATTTACTCTATTGGGCATACGTTTCACCTCCTCCCTGCGTCCCCCCCCCCCCCCATAAAGGAAGGAAGGCAGGGAGAAAGAAAAGGAAGAACATAAATGAAGGTGTGAAATTATAGTGAGAGCAGCTCCTATCTCCCAGATAAAAGTTTGGCCACGAAATACAGATGAGTTTAAAAGTTGTGTCATTTAAATTTTCTGCTAGTGTTCAGATTATGGTCAATATTTACCTTTTTGCTTATTTTTCTTCAAGTCCGATCCTTTGATATTGGCATTTTATTTTCACAACCTTACCCTTTACTCAATCAAGTGTTAGAAAAAAGCAACAGCTTGTATGATATTACAATGCAAGGGAGAGTGGAGCTTTTCAATATTTGCAGGCACGTGAGTTATATTCTAATTTTGGCAAACAATAAAGATGAAAACAGAAAGATGCTTTCAACTGTCTGGTAAAATGCAGTTTACATAAGCAAAGAGACTGTCAACAAAAGGATCCTTCCTTCACCTGTCTCCTGAACAAGTACCACAGATTTGATATACACGAAACACATTATATTCAAACTGTCTTACATTGAACATGCATATTTCAGTGTTCCAGCAACCTCTCTCTATATTCTAGCGATGTGAATCCAAAAGCTTTAAATTCTTAAGCACTGAAATGTATACTTGGATAGAGTATTGATCTTAAAAACAGAAAAGAAAGTATGGTTTCAAGACCAGCTTTCCTGCTCTGGTTTAGTATGAATACTGACCTTATTGTACAGTATCATTACGATACGGATACACCCTTACTTTAGTGAGCAGGACTGGCTTTACCATTTAAACACCTGCTCAGGTAGCATACTGAACTTCAATTTAAAAATATTTGAAAGGTAATAAAAATTGAGTTCATCCAGTAGAATACAAAAAGCTAACACCAACTTTCCTCTGAGTGGAGTATTGAGTCCATTAGAAAGACATAGTACAAATCCACAGTACAAATTCCTTACAAAGGAATACTAGCACCATTTCGTATTCAGAAAGAATAATCCTTCATTAATTTGTTTTTTTTTTTTTTAGTAAACTGTATACTCTTCGCCTAAATGCCCTCAAAAACAGGATTCTCAGTTAAACCCAAACAACAATTTCGCCTCACTAACATATATAAATTTGCTGAAGTGATAGGTTGGTTTCATATGAAAAGGGCAGTCACACCTACAAAAATGAGTTTTTAGAGCATACGAGAGTTATGCTTGGCATGTGTGAAACAGGGTGAGGTTAGCCCTAAGGTTTAATGTTTATAGAAAGGGCATGAAAATCAGTGGAAACGGACTGAGAATAAGCAAGTGTGTTATTTACACACCCTGGGGGCCCCCTCTCCCTGGGCCACCTCCACTCCCTTTCAGCTTGAATATGGACTAGTTAAGCACGTTGCTCTGAGAGCCATGTTGAACATTCTTGGGAACAGGGTATAAATAAACCCACATGCAGAACTGCTTTACAACCAGAACAATGAAATATTTTGGGGTTTTAAAAGCTTCACATGAGAAAACATGCACCGAAATCCTATTCAGCCAAATGCACTTTCCCTCCGTGCCATTAGGACACACTCTCGAGCACTGTCTCAAATAACTGCATTTACTTCCGAACGTGCCCCCTTTAAACACTTTGAATTGTCTAAATTTACCCTGCGGGGAAAAAAATACCCATTTTACTGGTAAGGTAAATTGCAAAAGCTTTGGACTGTGCTTCCTGTCCTACCAAGGATGGTTTCTCCACTCTTCTGCCGACCCCTCAGCCATGACCCCCTGGAAGCATACCCATGAGCGCTTTTACCCGGCGGTGTCTCTCCCCATTCCTAGCAAACTCTTAGATATGCTTGATAAATATTTTTATCTAATTTGCCTCATCTGTTGTTTTTATTAACAACTAATTTAATATCCTCTGTTCTGTAATATCTGCAGAAGCCAGTATAAGGAAACGCGCAGCCAGCCCAGACCCTGAGGCCTGTGCATCAAGATGGCAGGCTGGCCAAGGGTCCTCTGGGGACAGCAGTGCCAGAAGGAGGATTGGACACGGTGACCCGTCTGCCTGAGATGAGGGGGGAAAAAAACAACATCAACCAGGAGCTCTGTAATACTGATGAACTAATCTGTCACTCACAAGCTCGGGTCTACAAAAAAGAAAACTGCAATAAACATTTAATAACCATGAGGGGTGAAAATGCGAGCCCCCATTTTCAAATGCTGTTCAAACCTACGGCTCAGAACCTACTTAACTGGTTAGTTTGCGTTGATTTGAAAAATCATCTGAAGACCACAATCCACCCTATAGTTCCAAGGGTTAGGAAGTGTGCCACAGATAACTATCAAACATCCAGATGATTTCCAAGAACTGTATGAATGAACCAAGTTTCTTGATCTTGATATCCCAGGCAGGGAATTTGTTCTTAAGTACTAGACTGCTTAATTGCTTGGGGGAGAGAAAATCCTGGGGGAAAGACATTTATGAGGCAATATGTGCTCCATAGAGTCAGTGCACTCTCTCCAGCTGGATCACGGCCAGCAACGCAGAGAAGTCTACTCTTCTCTCCAGTAGAAGCAACTGGATATTTGATCTTAGAGATGAATGAAAAACCTAAAGATCATATTTCATGGGAATCTTTCAGTATCCTGAATGGAAAATACCACTGAAAATCGGTTATTTGCTCCTCCAACCCAAATCCACTTAGGACCAGAATTAAGAACGTGGGTGGGGGGCCGCGGGGGAAGGACAGAAATAATTTTTATTCTAATATGTATTTGAGGACGAACTAACATTTGCATTACCAAATGGGACTGTTCGCACCTGCTGAGTAGGCAAAGGAGGGTACTGAAATCAACAGCTTAAAAGAAACATGTATTTTTGATTATGATTGCCTGAAAAGCAATTAAAAAATTATTTTCACATTCTTGTTATTGTTAGAAGTCATCATCTGGGTAAATATTTTTATCTGTGCTATAACAATTAAATCATTTCAAAAATCTATGCCCTCTTCCTTTTTACTTCTATAGATGCATATGGGACAGTATGCTATCTTTCCTTTCGCCTCTGTTTCAGTTTCAGAAGAAGTAAGCATTTTAGTTTGTACATTTTTTATGTTTGTACATTTTTAATACAGAAAATTTTTACAACCTGCAGAACGACAACTATTATAATTTACCAGCTTGACAACAGTACCTGAGCCTTTTTATAACAAATAATTTATGAGAAATGAGCTCTCCAGAAACCATGTGGCTACTCTGATGCAAGTACTTAGAAAGTATTTGTTAACAAGTCATTAATGGGTATAATTCCTGGACATACAAAGTCTTTAAAACGTACAAAATGCCGAGCCATGTAATAATAACCACCACTTTTAGACCCTGACAAATTAGGAGTTTAATCTGGTGTCTGTAAAATGTATACCGATTTCCTTTTTGAAAGTATATATTTGAACCTTTTAAAAGTACATATACCTTTACAATGATTTCCAAAAAACAGTATTGCATAAAAATTTAGAAAGATGTCTCCCATCTTTTTTTTTAAACAAGCTTTCTTTTCCCAACTAAGGGAAATGTATACGAAAGGCACTCCTATTTTTCACTTGGGGATGGAATACAGTAATTTTGCACAGTATTATGGCCCTACGATGACATTCAGAAGAGAGAGCATGTTTACAACCCAAGAAAAGTTTTATTAAACAGGACAAAACTGTGATCAGGAGCTCAAGTGTTCTTTTTCTACGAAAAGGTCATCTTTTTTTAGCAGGCTATTTAATTAATTCTATATGCCCTGATTATTTTAGCTAACTTTGATATACTTACTTGCTCATCACTGAACACCTACACTAAAGTGGGTATTCACAGCATGTAAAATCAGTCTTTATATATTTTCTCCTGCCAAATGTATGCCCAGAGACTTCACTTTCTGTCTGTATAACAAAAACCAACTTGGAAGTTTTTTTTTTTAAATATTGTTCCATTGAAGCAGATTATCTACTGCTTTTAAAATAGTGTGAGCCTGTGGAAACATGGTATTATATATCTGACATTTCCCATCTAAAAATACATTATGAAGCATGCTGATATTAATAAACCATGTGCTTTCAGAACCCTAAAGTGCTTCGCTATAATTTGGTTGAAAACAGAGTCAAATGGTATATTTTCCACCATGCTATTAAACATACAGCAAACAAATTTCACATCATCACTTTGCCAGCTTGTCTTGATTGGAAAGTGTGCCACATAAAAGAAAAAAACAAAACTTTTAAAGAGTTTATCAATATTCGTAACCACATTCTGATTGCTGAGTTAACAGTTCATAAGTAAGCCTAGATAACTTAGAAAAAAAATGGATCAAAAATACATTCCCCAAAAGAGAAAGAAAGAAAACACATATATTCTCATTTTCCTCGCCCCACCCCCATCATAGAAAAATCACCCTTCCTTTTACAGCAGTTATCTGAAGGCAAATGAAAATACAACGATCCCTTCCTCTTCGGATTCAGCTTACGGACGCAAACATTTAAGCACAAACATAAAGTACCGATTGCACAGAAAGCGCCAAACAGAAAGAGCAAGACTCACTGACCCATTTGGAAGACAAAGACGACAGAACAGCAAAGCTCTAAAAATCAGCTTGTGAGGCCTCAGAGAGAGATTCTTCTGGCATTTCATCACAGCAGCCCCAGATCAGTTCACCTCCCTGAATCCAGGGAGGAGGAACTAAATAGAGCTGTTTATTAACGCTGGGGTGCTGGATTGCATTAGGAAGCCGACCAGACCACCTGGACCTTTCAGAGTGTGGCAGTGTTTAATTTGCAGCCTGCCCCTTCTGCAGCCGCCAAGACCATTTACCAGGCTCAATCACACATTATCTGGGTTAGAAGTAAAGGCACGTGTATTCCTAGATTTCTGTTTTCCATAGAGAGAGGGAGAGGGAGAGAGAGACGTAGAATATAGCCAAAATAAAAATATGGAACAGAACAATTTTAACTACTACCTAGGAAACGTAGCACCTTATTCTCTCCTTACACTTTCTTTCAGAGATCACGATCTCGACAGAAAATAAATTCTTAAAAATAGATTTTTTTTTTTAAACATCCAGACCAAATTATAAATTAGATTTGTCCTTGGATTTTTTGTTGTTGTTGCTGCTGTCTGAATTTTTGTTTGTTAAGCCTCGCATGGAAGTTTGAGGCTGAGGTTCCCTGGCTAGATTTACTGGGTGCCTATTGCCTCCCGCACTTTCAAGCACTGCGCTGGCAGGTAGCTGAAGATACAGATAGAAAGATGGTGCTGTAAATATGAATTATGTGAATCATATGGTGAGACCCTTGTGGAAAAAAGGGGAGTTGAGAAATGGCTGACTCCATACCTGACCAATTACAGCTTGCATGGTCCCCGTGTCCTGCTGGGCTGAGAGATCGCAATCCATCATATGATGTCTTTGAAAAGGAGAATGGGGGTTTCTGGCATGCATCTGTCAATCAACTTCTGCACTCACAACCATCACCAAAAGCAAGGGGAAAAAAAGTCAAGCTGCTTCACCAAATAGGATGAAACTGTCATGTGACCTCCGGCAGACTCGCACACACACATTCACTACCTCCATAGAGCGTAAGAATTTTCTGTAGATATGAAATGACATTGACAAATACCCAATACCAAGTAAATAAAGTGAGACAAACAGCTATTCACCAAAGACAAAACATAGGCTGTAATCTGCCGCTAAAGGTTTAACAAACCTATGAGGATTTTTTTAATACTCTAGAAACCTGTGTTTAAGACCAAAACAAAAACAAAATTAACTATTTCATGTGATAATTGAGGCTTTGGGTTCTAAGCCACCACATAATTTTTTTTTTCAATCATAAGTCATCACCCCGCTTCTGTGAGGCTGTCCCTAATGATTTTATTTTCAGAATCTCTAAATGACCTTCGGACAATATGCAGGAGTCTTTATGGTTTTTGTACAACGTCACCTTTACAGAAAAGCTTGAAATGTTAACCGTCGCAGAACACAGATACCCTGATATTTGTTGACTGGAAATGGATATATACAATCATTTGTGTAAACTCTGATGACCACTCAAATATAAAATATTCAAAGTGTGTAAATAGTAGTCACTAAACTTTTCATTTTCTGAAAGGTTAGGAAATGATTTACTTGATGTAAAGTGATGACAAAGATTTCAACTTTTTTTCATTTAAGTTAAGCTATTTGAGAGCCACACTTCAGGATAGATTGTTGATGTCACATGGGTTAGCTATTATGAGGGTGACATGAATATAATCCATTAGCTTTTTAACCCTTTCAGGATTGAGGTCGCAACGGGATTTCCCACACAACCTGACAGATAACTGCAAAGTTCCTTTGTGGAATGCAAAGCCATAAATAGCAACTGTTAGTTTGGTGGCTTTGTGAAGTTATTAACGTTTGCATGTAAACTTAAGGTCACCACTTGGCGTACTCTTTCTGGCTTGTCAAAAAAAAAATTTGCAGGGCAACTTTGTGGTATTAAAATGAGGGCACTTATTCAAGGTTCGCAACTAACGTTACGTTAGAGAGGTGGTGAGAAATGTTTGATACAGAAAACGTACCGTCATGCAGACCCTAGCGTTGTGCTATGTCATCACTCGAAAATTAATTAAGAGGAACTTCAAGTAAAAAAGAACCATTTCTGTTCGACATTTCTGAAGACAGCTTTAGGAGGAAAGAAGGACTCAAGTCTTACAGACTTGTCATTCAGAGCTGCCCCACAATGTACACACGTACACACACACACACACACACACACCCCGGCATCCCCAAACAAAACGAAACCGTGCAGAAACTGGGTAGCCCCCCTGAGGTCGCAGGACTGGAAAGGTCCTCCTAGCAGGATTGAAATGCACAGCTGGCCCGCATACACCCCGTCTGTCCGGGCCGCTGGAGGCACAGACCTCCCCGGAGCTTTCCGCAGCCCCCGCGGGCCCGGGAGCCCAGGCAGGCACAGCCGCGCCGCCCCCCCCCCCCCCCCCCCCCCCCCCCCCCCCGGCCCGGCCGGCGTGGCAAGCGGCGAGGGCTGTGCCAAACTTGCCCGAAGGCTGCGGGCTCGAGGGGAGAGGGCAGCAGGGGCGGAGTGGGGGTGGCGCGACCGCTGCTGGCCTGGCCTGCCTGGACCCTGCGCGGGCGGACCCCAGGCCGCGACGCGGAGACCCGCGGGACCAGGGCAAGTTGGGAGGAGGGGCGCGCCGAGCCGCCGGAGCCGCGTTCACGACCCCTCGCGGCCTGGCGGCGCCGCCCTCCGAGAGCCTCGTGCCCGCAGCCTGCGCCCACGCTGGAGCCCAGCCTGGGGTGGGGGCGGGGGCGCGGGCGGGGGCTGGGGCAGGACGGCCGCCCCACACCCTCCGTAGCGCCGCCAGGGTGTCGGCTTCAGGCTGTCTCCCGCAGAGATCTAAGCCCCGTGGGCGCTACCCTGGAGAGGCGGTGGGGGTGCACGTTGCAGTAGGAGTTTGAAGACGCCCCCCCCCCCCAAGCTCCACCTGCAAATTATAGTGGTCCAGGTTGGCATAGAGACAGCTGTTTGCCTACCCTCGGGTTGTTTACGTGACCATCTGACCTATATTAATTACAGTCATTTTACTGGTGAACTCGGATAGGGCCCGGTGTCGGACACCTGACATGACATTAGCTCACTAAATCCTCATAACAACTCAGTAAGGCAGGTGCAATTATTCCCATCTTACAGGTGAGGCACAACAAAAGACA